GAGCGCATTGAAGAATTTGCGATTAACGTTGAACGAATACACGCCGACTCTGTGCGAATGCAAAAGCCTCGTCGCGAAAAACGTTAGTTACGTGCCAAACTCCGTTAAGAAACTGGAGACGAATTACGAGCCACGCGCCACCACATGATACCCGACAGCATTTTCGAGGAATACGTGCTTAATTCCAAGGGTCTCAACCTCTTCATAAAAGAGTATGAGCCTGACTTCAAATTCCCGACCAAACTGATGAGGTTCGACGATAGTTATGTGCCCTCGAGCGTACGATGAAGCGTGCCAAATAACTCGAAAAAAAAACTTCGAGCAAGCAGGAGAAGTCGAAGCTGCAGAAACTAGAGACTCGTCGAATTAAGGGGACAGCAGACAGAAAAAAGATGAATCTTTTCTCGTGAGATACACACGAGTAAAGTGTACAAGCGTGGCTGTAAGCGACTAAAGAAAGTTTCGCAAGGAGAGAAAATAGATTTTGGTACGACTGATGTCTGTAAAAAATATGGTTTATCTTAATTCGATATATATAAGATTATATATTACATTATTGTATATGTGTGATATTCGTAATAAAATACCTATTCTTGCTAAGTACAATGATATCAATGAATTGATTGTTAACGAATGTCGTTTACAATAGCTTTGGATAAATTGGAGCGAATAGCTGTCTTATTTCCGTGCTATAAAATCGATTATTTCACTTCCGAAATGTCAATTTTAATGTTTTTTATCAGTCTTATGCATAGATACATGGAGTCACTCAGCTGTCATCTTCGGCCTCGCTTGGAGGATCTTCGACCAAATTCTTTATAGGTTCGTATTTGTTCCCCGTCATTTCTTCCTTGGATTCTTTTATTTCAGTGTTATCTTGATTGAGTTCCTCTTCGTCGTCAGTATCGTCATCGGCACCCGGATGAACGGAAACCTTATGCGTCGGACTGCCCATTGTCTGCATGGTTCCCGGTTTTTGCCACATCTTTTGTGACTCCTGAAAAGGGCGAAGAAACATAATTACTATAATGAAGAAACAATGTATGTAAATCAATTTATAAGTAAAAATTACCTTCATTCCGCTGACTTTCTCCATGTAATAATCGTAAACAAACTTAGCCATGTGTGGCATATCCTCGATCTCCATCGGAACAGTTGAGGACACAGCATCGTTCGGTCGCTCGGTGGGATAGAGTTCCTGCGGCAGTAGTTGTAGTTTCAATGGTTTCTGCATCAATTGGTTGAATGCTGGTGTCAGTTCGAAACAGTTCTTGAAAAGAGACACGCGAGCGAAGACATAGAGACCGAGACGAGCACGCGACATCGCTACCACTAGACGCCTCGCATCCCTCAGGTGACCAACTGCGCGCGTCTTAACTAGAGATAGCAAGATGTAATCGTTTTGCTGACCCTGGTACTTGTCGACGGTTGTTACTTTGTTCGGCCGACCTATCAGAGGATTGTTCGCGCACCGAATGTTTATTACATCCCTTATCAGATGCTTCTGTCCATTGTACGTAGTCAGGATACTAATCTTGTCCGCCGGATATCCTAGCAGGCGCATGTACATGAACACCGCGACGCAATATTCGGCTTCAGCGAGATTCTGATAGAAGTAGGCACTAGGCTCGCTCTCGCCGACGCCGTTGAAGTCCTCGACGTTCACTAGTTGGAAGTCGTACAGGAAACCGGCGTTTGCTACCAAATACTCGGGACTTTGCTCTACGTGCGCCAAATTACCCAGTTTCTTATACCTCCAGTTGTAGAGATTGCAAATGCTGGGTCTGGCGCGACCTTGACCATCAAGATCGACGGTGGGTACGCCGAGTCTTACGAATCTCGCGAACAGCGATTGTTCCATGTTCGAGTATTTCTGAAAAGCCATGTTCTTGATAACCGGCGGCAGCTGATGATGGTCCCCTATCATTATCCAACGTTTTAAGCGATTATATCCGTCCTGAGGATTTTGTAGGAGCAACGGTATGAAAGTTTCTATTTCCAAAATTTGCGCGGATTCCTCCATGAGAATATTGTCGTATTTGAAACCCATGTCGACAAGTTCGCGACGTTTAAGCGCTGCGTGCGTACAGGTCATAGCGATTACTTTGGCCTCCTTCACGAGCAAGTACTTCGATCTGTCGAGACCCGATCGTAGTAATTCGAAAGCGCGGAACTCGTCTAATTGCGTGAATATCCTCTCAATGTATCTACATAGAAGATATCGATATGAGAAGCAGTCATGATTACTCATCTTATAATAAAGCGTTGTATTCACGATGTTAGAAATTCTTCCGAAATCTCGGAGAAAGAATTGACCAATCACATTGGTCAAATAGCCAAATTATTCAAATGTTATTTGCTAATTCTTTCTTCGTCTAAGATTTCGAAACAATTTCTAACATCATGGACACAAGGCTTAAGAGTTTAATATACGTATTCTTACCTAAAACAACTGCATGCAATTTTGAGGTCTTCCTTGTACGAATTTTGCTTGAAAAGTGGCTGCGGGGCGTTGTCGAAGAACTTGTGGAAGGGGAACTCCTCATCAATTATAGAAGATAAATCGGATTTCTCACTTGTGTGCTGCCTTTGCTTGACTCTGGCCTGAAAACGATTCCATCTCGTGGACACTTGATACATGAAGAAGTAACCCGCCGTTTCGCATGTGTACGCGACATCGCCCTTTACATTCAAAGATTCCTAAAAAAAGAAATACATTGTAACTTGACATAATCAAATAGTACTGATAACTTAAGAAATAAATACCTGTAATCTCTGAACTTCCAAGAGCAAATCCAAACGTTTGGCAAGAACGTAATTGACTCTACCATAGCGACTAAAATCCTTTTCCGTTTCCAAAGCCTCCTCTCCGTGACCGAGACGCAGCAGATGCCGTTCATCGATATCGAGGGCCATTATCTTCTCGAACAATTGATTGAGCGCTTGATTGGAGTGTGTTACGATTAGCGTTCTCTGATAAGGAAAATTGTGATATAGATTCGAGATAATCTGTACAGCGACGTCCGTTTTGCCAGTACCAGGTGGACCGACGACCAACGTCAGACCTGGCTGCATTCCAGCTCGTATAGCTTCGACTTGCGTTGGCGTAAAAGGAATCTGATTTCTGCAACGTACCAATATGTTTTTCCTCCGTTCAAAAAATAACACGTTTCAACGTGCTATTAATACACTACAACAACAAACAAAGTGAATACTAACTTTTTCGGTTCGTTCGCTCTGTATGGACCTCTACTGGGCGGCACGTGTGGTTTAACTGTAATAACCTTCTTGATCGGATCATTGTTGTGCTTTGCGAGGACATCCTCGAAAATTAACTGAAACGGCCGCACCAGATTTCTTTCGTCCTCCGGATTCGTTTTGATCTCGTACTGAGGAAAACTGGCCCGTAGATGGTCGATATCGAGGAACGTGTCGTTGAAGTCTATCGTTGCGATTTCATCTGGCATTCTATTGCAAACATTTTTTAGTGTTCAATTATAAAGATTACGGATTTAATATATTTCTTCTAGATTATTACGAATGTAAGTTATAAATTGTGTAAACTATTATAGAAATGCAAAAATGTTAATCTATTTTTCAAACAAATAATCAAGCTAAATAATTATTACTTTGAAAGATACTGGCGGAATAACTGCAGAAAAGCATAATTACAGAAGAATATATCTACTAAATTATACAAGAAATATATCTATTAAAATCTCAGATAGATTTGCTCATCCATTTACAATCGATGCCGTTCCAACCAATCAAACAAGAAATACACCATCAGCCTTATTATTGGTATGTATAGATAGATAATAGATAGAGATTACCTAGAATAGCATGCTGCACCCGGATCGCCGTATCCGAGGATTATATCGTGCAACCAATCGGGCACGACGCATTCAGTATTCATGAGCTCCCTTATAGTCTCTAACACAGCTTTGAAGTTGTTCTCCTTAGGTTTACGCCTCATTATGATATTAAATCCCTCGTATACGTCTTCGCCGCCATGACTAGCGTTGTCCATATCGATTCGATATTGATTACAATCCAGCCACACTCTATAAGTGCGCGAATCGCCCGGTAAAATTGGCCTCGGCTCAGGGCCATCCTCTATCACTCTGCCGTTCGAGTCGAGCATACCCTCGACTTCGCATCCTCGCACCGTCGTTAGACCCACTTGTGGCACGAAGGGGAGTTTATGACTGTATTTAGTGCCTGTGATAATACGACAATTATCTGAGAATTCTGATTTACATTATTATTATGTAAGGCTATTAAAAAAAATTTTATTGTTGGCAAACCGTTATTGTTACTGCGTATGAAAGCGACTAAACTACATTACATGCTGACATAATCGTCATTTGATGATAAAAATTTTATTGACAATAAAATGTGTCTTATTGGTAATAAAATGGAAAACCTTTGCTGTTTTTCTAACGACATAATTTATCTTTGCAAATACATTCTGCAATTACAACGAAAGTTTTTTTATAACAAGATAATTAATTTGTCTATTATTATAGCAAGTCATAAATTAAAATTACAAATTATTAACATATTATATATGTCAACAGATTTTTCTCTAGGTAATTGATTCTTATTTATGAAACAGTTTCAAATTATTCTTTTTAATATCCGTCTTATCTTACCGATAGGATTCGGCGGCTTAACTGTGATAAGAAAGCACACGTCGTGCTTACGAAGATTTTCCCATTCGGATTTAATCTCCTTACGAACGCTAAGATTTATCGTCACGTCGGCACGAACTCTTGATGGCCTGTTCTCGCCGACGTTAGGCTTAGCCACCTCGACCACCGCAAATTGCGTAATAGGTTGTGCCATTCTGGCCCATCCACCAAAGTAAACACCGCCGTCCTCTGCCCGCCTACAAGCCAAGAAAGAAGAAATATTATTACTTTTACTTTTGTGAAAAGAGAAAGTAATATGCTGATTTTACGTACCAAGGACTCAGTCTGCTCACGGCATCCTCAATGTCTTGTCGTATCTCGTCTGCGAACAACGATAATACGTTTAACGACTGATACATATATGTATTTAATCATAAATTTAGATACGACAATGGATAATGCCGTCCATTTTTTTACTGTTTTCTACATACATGTAGATTCTAAACGGAATAGATTGAAGTTTCGTAGAAGATAATCGTGCAACGTGAGGAACTGCAAATTCAATTTTGGTAGAGCCAGACAGCCCTCGCCAGAAAAATATTCGGTCGGGACGATGCTTTCGTTCCATATGATGTCCTCGGTCGGATAAAGGGGCATCTCATTCAACTCTTCGAGCTGCGATGGCCTACGCTCGTGTCGTGATATCTGAAATTAAAATGCATGCTCTCTGAATTCAGACCGGCCTTGCTCGATAAAATCTCTCGCGGTCTCTCAATGTTTCTCTTTTTTTACACTCACCAGCAATTCACGCAAAAAGTCTATATCCAGGCGATACCAATTCTCGTCCTTTTCTCGCTCCGTGGGTGGTACTAAATTCAAGTAACTCGCGATAGACCTCAATTTTTCTTGACTGAAAATAAAACCCAACATTATTCGCAGCGATTCAATGAAGCTAGTGCTTCATGGTTTTATATATCAATATAATTATTTCCTGCTAATAAATTATTTCGCAATATTATTTTCGAAATTAATAACTTACGTATTTTTTAAGATAATCTTATTATATGCAGAACTCACCTGAGTGAACCGAAATGTTTGTACAAAGCATCTCTGATGTCGACACTAGCTACGTTGGCCAATGCGAAGCTTCTTAGATCCGGAAATTTTGCAAAAACCGCATTCTGTACAGTAATAAAAGTTAATAATGTTAATCTCAAGATTTCGAGCATTAATTATATATATTATCTATGCATATCAGTATTGATAACGCAACTAATAGGATTAATCATAACTGAAATTCCTGTTTTAT